TATAGAGGTTATATGAAAGTCAATTTTAATGTTTCAAATGGAATTATATGTTTTTAAATGTACTGATTGATGCAGCTCAAAAAGTATTACTTATATATGTTGAAGAATTATTAGTTTAAGAAATATTTTACTTCAATTTTGTATGAACATTGTTGATCGTATTTCCTTGTCTTTTTTTATGATGTGCCTTTTGAAATAGTTCAATTTTTGTATTAACTTGTATGACAGATTTTCAGATGGATTAATTTAAATGAGATTTTTTCGTAGAATAGAAATATAATAGAAATAAAAATAATAAATAATAGAATATAATAAAAATATAATAAAAATAATAAGAAATTAAATAATAATAGAATATAATAATGTAATAAATATATATATAAAAAATTTAAATAATTTTAACTCTAAATAATTTTAATCATTTGAATGTAAAGTAATCGCAAAAGTATAAGGCGATAGATGTTCGTTTATCACTCTCATCCTCGTATTTTTGCATTCACCTGTGAATTATATTTATCATGATGGTAAACTAAGTATTTCATAGTTTAAATAATTTACCCCGCATAATCATTTTGGCACAAGCCATTGGAGCAACAGATAGATGATATTGTGATTCGTCAACGTCGAAAATCGGAGCTATCGAATTCCAAATAGTATGTTGTTGAATATTATGTTTCCACTCCACCATCGAATTTAAAGTACATTCCGTAAGTGGAATATTGTGTGTCTGAGGATCTGTTTCACAGCCAGGATTGTTTATCGAAGCACACATGTAGCATCTTAAATTCTTATCTGTAAAAAAACAACTACTTATAATAAAAATTTTATTATTGTAGAAATAAAATCACAGTTCAATTCCGTCTATATGAACTTGTCGATGAACTTTATATGAGCAATAATTTATATGATCGAAATTCATATAATAAAAGTCCTCTACTACTAATAATAAAGAGTTTAGATCCAAATAAGCAGATTCAATTAGCAAGAGTTCATAATATAGGCATTATTTGAATAAAATATTTGAGAATGATTACTTAAATAATGTATCGATCATATTTTTAAGTACTATATTTGAATGAATAAATGATTTTTCTCTAAATTATTTAATCATTTGATTATAAAAAAATTTTTTTATTTTATTTTGTATTTTATATCTGTTCTTTCAAGTAATTTTTCAAATAATTCTATTTTATAAATGTCGCCTTGAGATTATTTGTTATTTTATTTCAATAGATTAATCTAAATTAATAGTTTAATCTATATTAATAATAAAGATTATTTGCAATGATTTATCTGATTTAGACCCAAGATAAAGTTACTTCTCTTAAATTAAAAATATCTGCATATTTTTCATCTGTCGAACAAATAAAATATTAAAATATTTTGAAATTTTTTTCTACAAATTGCACTTTGCAAATTCATCTTTCATTCACTTTTTTTCATTATTTTCTCACTATCTTATTTTCCTCACGATACTTCGTTTCAGCGATCGTATTAGTTATTGAATATTTTTATGTCTCTTCTCAATATATAGTATTTGGCATATTTCATACATGTTACAATATATATTTGCAATATTTACAAAATAAAATAACGTTTATTTCACCTTTTTTTGTTTCAATTCAGAAACTTTATTACTTAAGAATCAAAATAATTCGTTGTTCTTTCATTATTAAATCGATATATTTTGCACTTGCAATGAAAGTGACACAATTTGAAAAAGTCACAAAAATCTATAAATATCAAATGTTTATAGAAGAGCAAGAATTTTATACATTTCATTAGGCATTAATTTATTTGTCAGCTAAAAATTATTTTGTTTCTGAAAAGATGACGATGTATTTAATTATTAAATAAAACATAAATAAATATGCATTATTATTTAATTTATATTATATAATACAAAACATAAATATATAAATATAATCGATTACTAGTATAAATTTAGTGTAACAATACACAAGCATATTAAAGTGTATTATTAGCAATATAAACAAAATATTTTTATTATTATTGTAATTACAATCAAAAAATAAGTTTTATTTGCTTTACTCCATACATGATGATTATACGGAGATTCTTATTTTTATTTTAAACAAGAAGAAGAAATATTTCAATACTTTACACAGCCAGTTAATTAGTCAATATTTTGGAAATAGTCTAATTTTAATTAATTGAAATTAAGAAAAAATATCCAAGACTCTTCTTTTTCTTTAAATATTTGAAATTTGACTAATGTCGACTTTTATGACTGATCACATGTGTACATCTTTCAGGAAAAGAATAACGAAAAACAGATTTTAAATATAATTAGATATGAGTTTGTTTATCAAAATAAAAAAACGATGTAGCAAAATAATATACTTTTCATCATAATAAGTTATACAGAATATAACATAATGTTACATGAGTCAAGAAGTGCAACATAATTACTTTCTTTCAGTCAAATTATGATGATAAATGAATAAAATTTTCATAATTGCTCGAGAAAAAGCGTATCATAATAGTAATATAGTAGTATATAATAGTAATTCAGAAACCGCATTTTTAAGTTGTCCCACTTTTTGTAAAATATATTTATGATTAACAGGCTCGAGTAAAAATGTTATTAAAACATATGTAACATTATTATTAAATAATTTTTCATTTATAAGACACTAAATGTTTAGTTTTAACGATATAACGTGTACTGTAATGAAAAGTATTTATTTATTTTATAGCTATTTAAATAATTACTAAATTGAATTATTGTCTTCGTGTAGTAGCTACAAAAAATATTTGCACACCATTCTATTTATTATAACATTTATGTACCTACTCATCAATTAAGTCTAAGTATGTTAAATTCTGTATTTTTGTATATTTCATATGATTGAAGAAAGTTGAAAAAGTAAATGTCACGTACAAATAAATATCGTATAAAAAACAAGAAAAGATTGGAATAATTATATTTGAAATTATTATTCTTGAAAATAAATCGTACATGAATAGAATCTTTTTTTTATTCTTTTCCAGTGTATATGTAGTATAACAATAAAGAATAAAAAAAATAAAGAATGACGTCACCAGTCCCAAGATAATAACACACGTATTTCCTTAGAAAAATATATTCTATTCTTCTGGATTATAGTGCATTTCAATTCAACGATCGTTTGTCTTTCAGAAGAATTAAATAATCTATTTTTTCTGGCGCCTTCACGACGTCGACTGTCGTAACGTTTTCCACAGTCGCACATAATTCTAATAAACCAATAGACGAAAATTGCGTACCGTGAGAATATTTATAATCGAGCGTGCATTTCCAATGTCTCGTTTTCAAAAACACGCATGTTCTGTGTAGTTATTATTTGGGTCGCACTATCATGGCGCCAAGAGTCGCGACATTACATTACTCACCCCTACGGAGTGAATTGTTCTACGGGGTGTCCTAGCTGAAGGAGGTCACCCAAATATCTCTTTTATTTTTTATTTTTAATATTATGGGCAATTTTTAACACAATAGATAGATTTTTATGCACAATTCGCATTTTTCTCCATTCAATTATAGGAGAAATAGAGACTTTTTAAATTTCAATTTCAAAATATTTTATATATTTTGCATTATTAAATTTTTAAATTTTATATAAATACATAAAAATGCAGCAGTCTAATCATGGAAAACAAAATGGATCTTCCTATTTTTTTTTTTT